CATCATCTTCAGGCGAATAAGATATTTTTATATTGAACATGTATGTTCGAGACAAAGAAGAGCACATACAAATTTAAATAAAAAGATTTTTTTGGATGACATTCGATATGAATTGCTACGTTTTTGAAATATGTACGATGATATGAATATGATGTAATACGGCGCATGCTTTTTGTCAGTGATGTGACATATGATGTAAATCGCCATTTAATTGTTTGTATAGAACAATTTATATATTGGGCAGTTCCATAGTAGGTGCGTTGCACGTTTCCAATGTTGTTATATATAGCAACTCCCATATAAAGAGTAGTCTTTGGTCGTTGCATGTCCTTAGTATAATAGAGTGGGCCCATAACGGGTTATAATTCCTGTCTCATACTCTTCTTGTGAGTCCAATGCTGCACCTTCCTTTTGCTATATATTCCTGGTGTTTGGTGAAGCGGGTAGCCAACATTCTTGCTGTGGTCCCAATGTATCTCGTACTATTCCCCGTTATGGGATTTTCTAATGGAACTGCATAAATTCTCGACTTCTCAAAGATGGAGAGCTTGTCTCGGTTGTTGCAGAGGAGTCTGTGCAAGTTAGGTAATGGAGAAAGGGGCAGAAGCAGACCATGTTGTTTAAACATGCGGCAAATGCATAGAGAAAGCGGACTGAGGTATGGGTCCACTTTCTCTATGCATTAATTAAGTCATTAATATGTATAAAGAGATTTGATTATTTATTAATTTTCTAGTTTTACCTACTTTGTTTTGCATATTTATATTGTCATATATATTTGTTATTATTTTTTCTTGTATTTAATTTCTGTTATTTGTGTGATTAAAATTTTTCACTATTTGCTGTGGTGCAGCTTAGCCTATATGGCTTTTGCACCAAAAAAAGCAAAACCAAGCAACCAACCATTTAGAGAAGTCTACAGTTTATACAACAAACGAATGTGAATGGACCCTAGACCAGTGTTCCCCAACCTTTTTATCACCGCGGACCGGTCAACGTTTGATAATTTTACCGCGGCCCACTGAGGCGGGACGTTGATTGTTTATATTTTAGATTGATTTAATTTAATTGTATTTAAACATGCCTTCAAAATAAAATACAGTTACAGCAAAAAATGAATATAATGTGATTTAACATTCTAACTCACTAGAACGCTAAATCAATAAGAACCCTGAGCTTGTTTCTTTGCAACAAGACTGTTCCATCTGGGGGTAATAAGAGCCAATGACACCCAAAGTGTGTTTCTTATGTCCAGTTTATTCTGTTCTTTCGTCCATTAAAAGTAGTACAAACCCGAGGAAATACACCATAGTAAATAAAATGGAAATAATTTAATGTTTCTTGGGTGGCTTGGTATCATTTGGTTCATGGACCGGTACCGGTCCAGGGCCTGGGAGTTGGGGACGATCACTGATGCACAATTAACTGATTGCCCCTGGAAATTGGCTTTTTTCAGAAACACAACTTTCCTATCATCAAATGTTATGACATGCCACTGGGTCATAATAAGATTTTTCACAGATGATTGCTTCTGAAATACTATCACCAGCCATTTGCTTCTCAGTAATCCACAACAATAAGAACTTTCCATGTTTTCAATCGTTTGTGAACTCCTAGCCGCAAGGATTTTGACACCTTTTTGCAACATCAGTTGTTTTAATCACCTCTTTATTTTTTATTTTGCTGCATATGGTACTTCTTAGCATATTAAATTCTTTGGCTAAGTTGGAAACACTTTGTACATTTTCAAACTTTGCAATAATTTTTTTTACTTCTATTGTTTTTCTAGCAGCTTTCCTTTTTTTGCTGTTTTTTATTAGTTGGAGTCATTGGAACTTGCATTTTTGAAAATAATCAATGCGAGAAACCAAGAACACACGACTTTTCTACGAAGCAGAGTAATCAACTGCAGCTAGTTGCCAACTCAAAGTTCAAATTTATGGCTAGACATTTTAATAAAAATATTGAAATCATATTGTTTCCATTAAAATTGTTTTTTTTTTATAGCTAGATAGAATTATAAAAATAGTTAGCTATTATAATTTAAGTAATTTGCATAGTGCCACTGCTGGTGTTGGAAAGTATGACAAATATAGTAAATACTGACGAATATGGAGGAAAAGAAAGATCATCAAAATATTATGAATATAGAGGTTCCATTGTGTGTATTTTTAAAAGAGTAAAGTTAAACATATTTGAATTAAATATGAATTTTTATTTTTTCATTAATATAACAGAAACAATCAATTTTTATAAATGTTCTATTATTACAGATAAATTCTTTTTAGGACAGAATACTTCTGCAGAAAATAGCTTCATTATAGATAAGTATTTTAAGGTTATTGATAATTCATTGTCAGAAGATTATAAATACACTTTTATAATTTATTTGTTGAAAAGTAAATTGGTTACACGTATAGATAACACACAACGATAAGTAGGAGCATAAACATTTATTTTTGTGTTTGTTTTATGAAGATAGTTATAATCATTTTCTGATGGGATATGAAATATTGAAAAAGTTCTAAATTTAATAATAGTACTACAGTAGAACCTCAAACTCGGCCTAATGTGGACCGAAGGGTGGCCGAGTTTGTGAAAACGCCGGGTTATCGGGAATGGGGTTAAAAAAAATAAGTACGAGTGTTTCCTCAGAAAATACTGTACTGTACTTGAATGTATTGTTTACTTGAGAATATAACAGAGAATAAACTGCCCAAATACCCTTAAACAAAGGAAAAGTACGTCTTTTATGAAGGCATAGAGCCTTTACTACATGAAAATGAAAATTAATGAATACACTGTGTACAGTAATTTACCTGATAAGACAGATCTCAGAAAAATACTTTATGAGAGCTTTTATACTTTTATAAAGCTGTCTATAATAAAAATTAATTAACTAAGGAGTTTTTTGCCCTGCCAGGGTGTGGCCGAGTTATCCGGAGTGCCGGGTTATCGAGAGCCGAGTTTTCAAGGTTCTACTGTACTACATGAAAGTTGTTTGTTTTTATTACACACACATTTATTAAATGATGAATTTTGCTAAATTGATTTTGTATCTAGTTATATTTGTTTACATTTCTATTTAAATTTGTCTATATATATGTTCTGTTATTTAACAGATTGAAAAGTAATATTATAATCAAAATTATATATATAGATAGATAGCTAATTCGGTGAATTAAGTGAATCATATACATAAGATTCACTTTACCTTTCTAAATTATCCTTTATTAAGTCAAGGAACAAAGTCAAGTGAAGTTGAATTAGAGATACCAATCTCACAGATGTGTGTACAATTTTTTCATTTTTTTTCTCAGTTGAAGAACTATACTTTTCTATGTGAGAACTTTCATCTTCTGAAGAGTTTTAAAATTTATCTGGCAAATGTGAAAATTTGGTTCTCAAAGGAAATAGATACTTTACTGTGTAATCAGTGAATACTATATCTTAATTCATCTACATCTTTCTGGAAGCCGGAAAGGCCAACTTCAGGTAGTTGATACATCAGCTTCTTCCAGCAGATGTAGCTTAAAATGTTATCATTATCCTGATCAACCATTGCCATTATCAACTGAAATTTAATGGTTTATTTATCATCAAACTGTGAAGGTTGCAAGGTGACATCCAGGCACCACTATTTAGGTGATTTATTCTGACACCAAGTAGGATATGCCTATTACACAAATTTTTGAGTGTTTTTTGGATGGCAGTAATGCAGTCTTGTATGTGAGACTAGGGGTAAGAACATGAAGTAGGAAATGACAGAATTCAGTTGGAAAGGAGTCAATTGATGCAGTTTAGTACACTCATTAGATGGCCTGAAAGTCTATGTAATACATCACATAGTTAAGTAAGACACTATTAGTATTTGTGGTTACGCACACTATCATGACAGAGTGGGTGTTTGCAAACTTTTGACACCTTAAGAATTTTGACAAATATCACATGATGTTATTGCACAGGAAGAGTTATTGTATGTAGATTTTTGAAGTTAGAGAATTATATTATGTTTGATAGTACTCAAGCATGAATGTAGATGAAGTACACAATAGTAAATCTCAGTGGCTGTATAAGAAGACACACACACACACAAATCTAATTCAAACAGTTGGAGGAACGAGTGATGACTGACTGGAATTGGCAATTCCTTGTTATTTTAAAAAAGCAAAAATTTCAGAGATGTCTAAAATTCAGTGGGAAAGGTGTCAGTACTGACATTGAGAAAGTGTAAGAGGAAACTCTCTCAGGTCAGAAAGTTGACACACTAGCTTCTGGTGAGGTTATCCTTAAGTTGTTTTTTTTCCTATTTGGTACTCATTATACTTCTATATCAGAAGTTTTATCTTCTGAAGAGTTCAAAATTTTAAGTGGCAAATCTGAAAAAATTTTGGTTCTCAAGGAGTTGACTCATCAATACCTTCTGAAAGGTGAAGGATAACTCAGTCAGAGTCAAAACCAAAGTCACCTCCAAAAGAGAAACCACCTGTTAAATTAAAGAGGGATACCCTCGCAAAGAATGCTGCCTCAAACACATAATGGGTTATAAAATAATCCAATGGAACTGGATTCTGCAACAACTTCTCTGACATTAAACACTTGACATCATCCACCTCATCTCTCTGTGTGGCACTCCAGGAAACCCATCTAAAACCTGGAGAAAATATTTCTCTCAAAGGTTTCAATCTTTACTGCAAGGATGATGATAGCCACAACCGAGCCAGTGGCAGTGTGGCTATTTTGGTTTCCAATCGAATCCCATATTTGCTGGTACAAATAACCACTGATTTACAAGCTGTGGCAGTTAGAATTTCTATTGGAGTAACTGTCACAGTTTGCTGTATATACTTGCCACCAGATGTCAGAGTCAAGGAAGTTGAATTGGATGCCTTAGTTGAACAGCTGCCAACACCATTCCTTCTACTGGGTGATTTCAATGGCCATAATCCTATGTGGGGCAGTCCTGACATTAATCGTCGAGGCAGAGCCATTGAATGACTCATAGGCAATTAGCAAATGTATTTATTTAATACTGGAGATGTGACATACTTCCATGCCCTAACAAGAACTTTCACTGCCATTGATCTTTCATTAGCCACTCCCAACCTATTTTCAGCGTTTACATGGGAAGTTGGATCTAATCCACTTTCCAGTGACCACTTCCCAATATTTCTAAAATACCGAGGCAGAGATAGCTGTGAAACAGCCCGTCCACCACGCTGGAAATTGGAAACAGCTGATTGGCCTCTTTTTCCTCTATGGCCAACATCACGGAGGATATGGTGAATATTGCTGATATCAATGACGCAGTTGAAGTTGTCACTTCCAGTATTATTCAGGCAGCTGAAAAAACAATGGGGAAGACATCAACTAGATATCCAAAACATCCTAAACCATGGTGGAACCAGAATTGTGAGGAAGCATTTAAAGCTCAAAAGAAAGCATGGGGTATTTTCAGAAGATACCCCACTTCGAGAAATTTGGTTGCTTTTAAAAAAGCAAAGGCAAATGCCAGAAGAATTAGAAGACAAAGCCAAAGGGATTCTTGGAGGCAGTATGTCTCTAGTATAACATCTTCTACTAGCTCAAAAGCAGTCTGGGATAAAATCCATAAAATTAATGGAAAATATGCTACCCACTCTCTGTCCATGCTGGAAAATAATGGCACAATAATCAGCGATATACAGGGTATTGCCAATTTGTTGGGTGAAACGTTTTCTTCTTCATCCAGCAATGTAATGTTTACTAGGAATTTTCAAGCTTATAAAGCTCAAAATGAAAAACAATATTTAAACTTTCACTCCTCATCTAATGAGGAATATAATGTGCTATTCACCAGCATAGAACTACATACAGTAATCTCTCGCTAGGGGAATACTGCTGTAGGTCCGGATAAAATCTACTACAGCATGATTAAAAATCTTTCAGACAATTCTCTTTGTAATGTTCTGAATCTGTTTAACAGAATATGGACAGAACATACTTTTCCCGACTCTTGGAAGCTATCTATCATTATTCCCATTCCAAAACCTGGTAAAGATCACAAGAATTCCTCTAATTACAGACCAATTTCTCTGACAAGTTGTCTCTGTAAACTTTTCGAGAGAATGGTAAACAGGCGTCTAATGTATCTCTTAGAGAAAAAGGAATACTTTTCAACACATCAGAGTGGTTTTCGTAGGAACAGAAGTACCACTGATAACCTGGTAAACCTTGAAACAGCTATACGCGAAGCGTTTGTTTGACGACAACACTTAGTGTCTGTGTTTTTTGACATAGAGAAAGCCTATGATCGCTGTTGGCGATACGGGATACTTCGTGATCTACACCAATTTGGATTGCGGGGTAATTTGCCAATGTTTATAAAAAACTTCTTAGAGAAACGAAGATTCCAAGTTTGGATGGGCAACACTTTATCTAGACTCTTCACACAAGAAGAAGGTGTTCCTCAAGGTTCTATTTTGAGTGTGACTCTGTTTTTAATTAAAATTAATAGCATAGCTAACTGTCTTCCTCCCAGTGTGAAACAGTTCTTGTATGTGGATGACTTTCAGATCTCCTGTCAGTCTAATAATATGAATTTCATTGAGAGACAACTTCAAACTTCCCTAAATCGCATATATAATTGGTCCAAGACCAATGGGTTTACGTTTAATGCAGCGAAGACATCGTGCATCCACTTCTGCCGTGGTTTGCACCTGGATCCTGAAATTCACTTAAATGGCAATAAAATTCCAATGGTGAATCAGGCTAAGTTTTTGGGTGTTTATTTAGACCTAAAACTGACATTTTTGCCACACTTGCGCAACCTGAAGAGTAGATGTTTAAAATCTCTAAACCTTTTAAAGGTACTATGCTGCTCATCCTGGGGAGCAGACAAAGTTTCTATGCTCAGGATTTATAGGGCCCTTGTCCGCTCTATGCTGGATTACGGTTGCATTGTTTATGGCTCTGCGCGAGAATCTACTCTTCAGATGCTGGATCCAATCCACCATCAAGCACTACGTTTGTGCACTGGTGCTTTTCGGACTTCCCCTGTACAAAGTTTGTATGTGGATGCTTATGAACCTCCACTATCTCTCAGGAGAGAACAGTTGTCTTTATTTTACTATATAAAACAGAAATCTTACTCTAAACCTTTAGTTGATTGTACAGTATTAGATACTCAGCTGAAAAGATTATTTGAAGCTCGCCCAAGCTGTGTCCCTTCATTCGCCATAAGAATGGAGAATGTGAGCAGCATGATTGACCTGAACACAGGCAACATTTCACAGCTAGAGGTGTGTAGTATATCTCCTTGGTCAACTCTTGTGATAAATGTTGACCTTAGTTTAAAGCAATTTCCAAAGGAATCCACCCCAGATTATGTCTACAGGCAGCACTTTGCAGAAATTCAACATTGTGACAGGAATTTAATTCTTATTTTTACAGATGGATCTAAATCTGATGATTACATTGGCTCAGCCTTTGTCTGCCAGGATGAAATAGTGGCAGAACAAATTGCATTGAATTCTTTTATTTTTTCTGCAGAGTTGCATGCTATTTATCTAGCTTTAAAGTATATAAATAGGAAAGGTCATCGTTCCTGTGTTATTTACACTGACTCAGTTAGTGCACTTCAGGCTTTGATTTCATGTGAACCTAGTTCTCACTCTATAGTGATTAAAATTCCTAAGCTGTTTTGCCATCTTACTGCAAGTAATTTCTTTGTAAAATGGGAATGAAGAAGCTGACGCAGCTGCAAAGTCAGTTACTCCTTTACAGCATATAATGCGTATTGAAGGAGTCGATTTGAAGCTAGTAGTTAAAAAACGACTAGCAGAGAGATGGCAAAACGTGTGGAATGCACAAGTCCACAATAAACTACATGAGATCAAGCCAAATACAGAAAATTGGACACACAATAAACGGTATGACAGGAGATCTGAAGTAATTCTTAGTCATTTGAGAATTGGTCATACTCGGTTGACTCATCAATACCTTTTGAAGGGTGAAGACCAGCCAGTATGCGAGTATTGCAACTGCGATTTAAGTGTAAAACACATGCTTTGCAACTGCACAGCTTTTTATCAAAGTCATAGACAGCATTTTGGAAATGCAAGTTTGAGAGAGATTTTGGGCCAGAGGCCAAATCTTGACAAATTATTGAACTTTTTGAAAGTGAATAATATTTATAAACATATTTAATTATTTATCTAGGTTATGTTTATATATACCTTGTTGATTATTTATTTATTCATTTATGTATATATCTTGTTATTATTTATATGTATAATGTTATATGTTGTTTTGTTATTTATTTTGTTATTTATTAGTTTATTTATTTATATTAAACATTTTACATTATATATATATATATATATATTTATTTATATATACCATTTGCCATGGCGCAGCTTGGCCTGTATGGCCCTTGCGCTAATAAACTCTAACGAACCAACCACTTCTGACGTTTCAAAAGTTAAAAATATTAAATAATATGATACTTAGAAGAACTAATAGTCATATCTCTCATATAAAAATTTCATATTTGACAAATTACGTCATCAGTAATATGATCAAAATTTTACGTCATCAGGTTTTACAGGTCAGGGTATTGTTTCATAAAATGTGTTATAATTCGCGAAGATATATAAGTACACAAACATATTATACATGAAAATGTAGAGAACAAAATTCTCCATCTAAATACCATACAGCTAAAGATAAATTATAAGTGTTTATAGGTTATTATGTTATATCAAATTGCAGTAAATTTACAAGTGTTTCATGTAAGCAAGATTAACAATTTTTTTTTTGAAATAAGTACAAAATACAAGCAGATGAAAAATATACCAAACAAAACTACTAATACTTGCATAGTAGTAGTATTTTTTTCATACTTATATTATAAAAATTTGATTTTATATGAATTTTTAAAATAATACTAGTGTATTGACCTTGATGATTTTAACAAAACCAGCTAAGTTAAACTACTCTGACCACGCCCTTGCTGGGAACAAAGGGTTAATATTGTTGGCCATAAAGCTATATCAAATATGATGACAAATATTAAATGATATAAATTTAGTAAGTATTAAATTAATATTTTTATGAATCACACAAGTAGAAATTGTCTATTTAAATGAAAATTTTAAAAATTTTTATTAAAAAGAGGCAAATTCTTATCTGGAAATGCAATCAATACTAAATCACAGATAAGTAAAATTAATAAGCATATTACGAGATTTGTAATTTTACAAAAAATTAAGATTTAAATATTTACAATTTGATTAACTATATTATTAATGTTTCATGCAAATTGGACATTAAAACTGAAAATTCATTTTGCTAGTTTAAAACATTATTTTGTCCATGGTGTAGAAAGTCAGAATATGAATGTGAGTGAAAGTATAGTACGGGATATCAATTATATTATAAATCTAAACTAATAAAGAAATATAAAATATTTTCTTACTTTTTTTCCATATTCAGGGGTTAATTCATGTCTAGATAAACCTTTGTAATCATCGTTTTTTCTATCTGTGGATTCAGTCAATTCTATTAACTTTTGTGAGATGTCAGTTTTCTTGTTATTTTCTAAAAATAATAATTTTATAATTTTCATTAATAAATAATTAAATAATTTTATAAATATTCAATTACATTTCCTCTCAAAAATTAATACAATAACAAATAATTGGTGTATTTCAAACAGTAATTAGCGAATAAAAATTATAAAGCTACGATGAGTTATCGAATTTAAACTATGCAATTATATAAAATCTAAAACCTATAAAGAATGTCACAGAGCAGTACAGATGTTTAAGTAGCAAGTAATTATAACATCCCACACTGATCGAATTAAAAAATCAAAACTATAATTCACAGGGTATTTATATAAAAATTTAGTAATTTCCTGATATATTTCAGGAATTGTAAAGTATTTTTGTGCAGGCAACTCGGCAGTGTATTACTAACGTCGGGCATATAATGCTCAAAGTATTAATAGAACGGAGTATTAATGCACCTGAATTCAAACCATTCTTAAAAGTGGACTATTCTGTATACAAAATCAAGTAATTTTCCCTTTAGTCGATGTCAAATATGCACTGTAAATAAACATTTTAAAGTGAAAAACTTGTTTCGGTAGTTGAACGGTGCTGTGTTTTGTTTCCACTGGACGAGAACACTCGAAAGACGTTATGCCAGGAAACAACCCTGTAATATTACTAAAAATGCGTGAATAAGAATAACAATTTACCATGGTGCATGCTGAATGTTCATTTGTAAAGAAATTCTAATTATTTAACACTAAATAAGTAATGTTGAAAAGCAGAAGTTATCACAGTGACTTTTCATTTGCTTCTGTCCAGATACGAGAATATTTTGAAGATTTTTCATTGAATAAATGAAACATTTCCATAAATAAAAGAATATTTGGAAATTTATTTTTTATTTTGGATTTTTATCAGAATAATAAACATCAAATGACTGAAAAACTATGCATGGAAAATTAATGCTAAACTTTACAATTTACTAATAGTACACCCGAGTAAAAAATATCTTAATTCGATTGTATTTCGTTAACAATTTTTCAATAAATTGTTTTGAAAATTTAATAATTCTTTGCAATCTGCTATTCGTAACCTTACCTTCAACGAATTCTGTTATCTCTCTCGATTGTTTTGTCATCCGTGAAATAATAGATGGATCACACTTAATTCCAATACAATTATCACCTTCAATGTCGATTGTCATCGAGGATGTTAACAAAGTAGATTCAAAGCTTTACTGTTCCAATTGATTAACGTCATTTAACTGATGAGAAGAAAGGATATTTTGCTCTGATATACTCTTTGTGTGATCGAGGTTCTCGTCTTCTGATAATTCATGTTCTTCCTCTTTGTAGATTATACCAAGAGCAAAGACAAAGATCATCTAAACTCATCAGTTCCTGCTTTAATGTCCTGTGATCTTCGTTTTCCAATACCAAAATTTGTTTTGGAGTCAATGGAACATAAGCATCTTCCTGGTGAACAGAATTATGAGAAATAAGATATTGAAAAAATTCTTGAAAATTACGTTAACTTAATTAAAGAATAAAGTTAAATTTATGTTTAATAGTTTTATCATAAATTAACATAATGCCAATGAAGGTTTTATTACAGGTTCATTTGAAAACAGAGGCAATAGAAAATGAACCCGGTTACCATCACCAACGATAATAATTCAATTGTTTTTTCTTTATTAAGCAAGGCTAAATTTATATAATAATAAAAAAATGTAGAGTCAATTTAAATAGAACATTTTCATCTGGTTGTGCATTACCAATAATCAGCTTTTGATATAAGGATTAACAAATTAGTTTGAAACAATTTAATTAAATTTAAACTTACGAGTGAAAATTATTCCATATCATCTGAGTCATCATTGTCAGTCTCTGTAATATTAGAGATAATTTCTTGTTTAGTTTTTTTCGCTGAATCTTCAGCGCTGATACCATCGAGATTAATTGGGGACGGTTGGTTTGTGTCACCAACAGCAGTTTCAGGATCAGAAACTAAAGTATAAAAGAAAACCCCAAAACACAGTCATTAGTAAACAGATGAATTCAAGTGTTATATATGAATTTGAGAGTAAAGCTACAAATAGATTACACGAAATAAACAGATCAAATGAGAACTGACAAAAGATATTTTGAAGACTTAAAAATATTTAAGTTATATTTTATAATTTTACATTTGAATTTATTTTATATGAAAAGCTCAGAATTACAATAAATTTACTTTGTTAATAACAAATAACAAAACTTAATTAGGTTATGTTTAAAAATTTGTTGAAATTTCATCAAGCTATAAAAGCATAAATATTTTTATGTTAATTAATGTGTATCAAGTGCAAATTATCACACACACAGTCAAGTTAAGCTATAATATTACAGAATGTTTGTTGTATGTTGATGTAAAATGTTTGCATGTTTACTAATGCATAATAAAAACGCTTGAATATTAATAGAATTTAAAGAAAATAATCTATACAAAGATGCTATTTATATGGAATTTAAAGTTTTAGTTTAATAATTATTTTGCTTTTAAACAGAAAATTGTTTTTGTACTTGATAACTCACAATAAATTGTCAGTGAATAACTTAAAACAAAACAAATGCAAGATTTAATATTCTCTCTCCCCTCGATGTGGGTTCCTGTCCGTGGTGAGGGGACCTCCCAGAGATGGTTTAGAAAGTCTTCTTTACTATCCCTGGGATCTGAACGCCCACCCATGTGTTTGCCGTGCGTGGTACCCCGTAAGCCGGAAAGGGGGATCTTGGTAGTTGAGGGGCAACATAACGTCTCCAACACACTGCTTTGGCCCCTGCTTTGGATAAACGGGAGGCTCAAATCAGGCTTCGTTTGAGACAATCGGCTGGTCGTTGAGTCATTCTTGACCTCGGCTTGGAGTCAACCGATCAATGCAGACCGGGCGGACGCGTCCCTGCTTGACAGTTTTGTCTTGTCAGTTCAGATGTGCTCTTCTTGACTGCATTGTGAGGGTATAGCTCCTGGGAAACCCTGGTGTGACGGTCTATGGGAATCACCCATGTGACGACATCCCCTTGTTGGGCCCCATGCTGGGTGGGTCACTAGGAGCTGAATATTTATTTCTCAATATGGACCCAAAAACCATAAAACAACAAAGACCAGATCAAGTTCCAAGAAACAAGGAAAACAATTTAAGTCAACCTACTTATCTGATAATACACGAAACTGGTGAAATGCTCTCCTTTCTTAATACAAAAACTGTTTGAATCGACTATTGGACATCTGAAAAAAATTCAAAAATCGAGATCGGGAGATTTACTGATAGAAACAGCCTCACCTCAACAGTCGGCAAAACTCTTAACAATAAAGACACTGGGAGACATGGAAGTGACTGTCACACCACACGGAAGTTTAAATTCATCTCGTGGTGTGATATCTGAGGTTGATCTGTTATCTGAAGAAGAGTCAGATATTCAGATTGGCCTTTCAGACCAACGTGTCACTGCTGTTCGACGTATCTCTATTCGCCGAGATGGCAAATTGATACCAACCAAACATCTTATCCTCACATTTAACAAGCCGACATTGCCATCTTTCATTACTGCAGGATTCCTGCGCTGTCCAGTTCGTCCATACGTTCCAAACCCACTACGTTGTTTCAAATGCCAGCGGTTTGGACACTCACAGACATCCTGTCGAGGGAAGAATGTATGTGCACAGTGTGGAATGGAAGGTCACCAGAGCACTGAGTGTACCACTACTCCATGCTGTGTGAATTGCAATGACGCGCACTCCGCTTACTCTCGCAAATGCCCTGCATGGCAGACAGAAAAAGAAATCCAGCGTGTAAAATCAGTCAACAACTTACCTTATCCAGAGGCACGTCGCATGGTCACTTGAAGTGCACCACTAAAACAAAAAACATTTGCTGCTGCTTTGAAATCCACAAAAACATGTGGAGTTCAAACCGATATTTCTGTTTCCCCAAAGGAATCTCTCACCAGACATGCGAAATGTTTACTGATTACACCAAAAGAAACACCAGAAAAGGAGAGTATAAAACCAAAAACACCCTACCTAAGCAGGGGTAATAACAAGGAACCTGGGTTCTAAAAAGGCTAGTAAGAACCCACTAAACAAGCAGAGAGTAAAAGCAGCTCTCTCTAAATGTAAAAAATCAGAAGCTCACTCTATGAGTCAGTTTTCTGATATCTCTGATGAAGAGACTAATCAGGAGGTGACAAAACCAATATTGCCTCTAAAAGAAAATCCCCCGGTTAGACTAAAGAGAGATGCTCTCAGAAAGAATGTTACCTCAAACACATAATGGGTTATAAAATGACCCAATGGAACTGTCGTGGTTTCCGCAACAACTTCTCTGACATTAAACACTTGACATCCTCTACCCAATCTCTCTGCGTGGCACTCCAGGAAACACATCTAAAACCTAGAGAAAAAATTACTTTAAAAGGATTCAATATATACCACAAGGATGATGATAGCCACAACCGTGCCAGTGGCGGTGTGGCTATTTTGGTTTCAAATCGCATTCCATCCTTACCGGTACAAATAACCACTGATTTGCAAGCTGTGGCAGTTAGGATTTCTATTGGAGTAACTGTCACAGTTTGTTCTATATACTTGCCACCAGATGTCAGAGTCAATGAGGATGAATTGGATGCATTAGTTGAACAGCTGCCAACTCCATTTCTTCTACTAGGTGACTTCAATGGCCATAATCCAATGTGGGGCAGTCCCGACATTAATTGTCGAGGCAGGATCATTGAAAGATTTATAGGCAACCAGCAACTGTATTTATTTAATACGGGAGAAGTGACATACTTCCATGCCCCAACAAGAACATTCACTGCCATTGATCTTTCATTAGCCACTCCCAACCTATTTTCAGCGTTTACATGGGAGGTTGGATCTAATCCACTTTCCAGTGACCACTTCCCAATATTTCTAAAATACCGAGGCAGAGATAGCTGTGAAACAGCCCGTCCACCACGCTGGAAATTGGAAACAGCTGATTGGCCTCTTTTTCCTCTATGGCCAACATCACGGAGGATATGGTGAATATTGCTGATATCAATGACGCAGTTGAAGTTGTCACTTCCAGTATTATTCAGGCAGCTGAAAAAACAATGGGGAAGACATCAACTAGATATCCAAAGCATCCGAAACCATGGTGGGATCAAAATTGCGAGGCAGCATTTAAAGCACAAAAGAAAGCATGGGGGATTTTCAGAAGATACCCCACTGCTAGTAATTTCACTGCTTTTAAAAAAGCAAAGGCAAATGCCAGAAGAGTTAGAAGGCAAAGCCAAAGGAATTCTTGGAGGAAGTATGTTTCTAGCATAACATCTTCCACCAGCTGTAAAGCAGTCTGGGACAAAATCCACAAAATTAATGGGAAATATACTTCTAATTCTCTGTCCATGCTAGAAAATAATGGCACAATAGTCAGCGATATACAGGGTATTGCCGATTTGTTGGGAGAAACATTTTCGTCTTTATCCAGTAATATTACGTATCCAAGTAATTTTCAGGCTTATAAAGCGCAAAGTGAAAAACAATGTTTAAATTTCCATTTTACATCTAATGAGGAATATAATGTGCCATTCACTAGAATTGAATTACATACAGCGATCTCACGCTTGGGGAATAGTGCTGTAGGCCTGGATAAAATCCACTACAGCATGATTAAAAATCTGTCAAACATATCCCTTTCTAATCTCCTGTGTCTGTTTAACAGAATATGGACAGAACATACTTTTCCTGACTCTTGGAGGCTATCGATCATTATTCCCATTCATAAGCCTGGTAAAGACCACAAGAATCTCTGTAATTACAGACCAATCTCTCTGACAAGTTGTCTATGTAAACTCTTTTAGAGGATGGTAAACAGACGTCTAATGTATCTCTTAGAGAAAAATGAATACTTTTCACCACATCAGAGTGGTTTTCGTAGGAACAGAAGTACCACTGATAACCTGGTAAACCTTGAAACAAGTATACACGAAGCGTTTGTTAGAAGACAGCACTTAGTGTCTGTGTTTTTTGATATAGAGAAGGCCTATGATCGCTGTTGGCAATATGGGATACTCCGTGATCTGGACCATTTCGGATTGCGGTGTAATTTGCCAATTTTCATAAAAAACTTCTTAGAGAATCGCAGATTCCAAGTCAGGATGGGCAACACTTTATCTAGGCCTTTCACGCAAGAAGAAGGTGTTTCTCAAGGCTCAATTTTGAGTGTGACTCTGTTCCTAATTAAAATTAATAGCATAGCTAACTGTGTTCTCCCTAGTGTGAAACACTTTTTGTATGTGGATGACTTTCAGATTTCCTGTCAGTCTAGTAATATGAGTTTTATCGAGAGACAACTGCAAACCTTTTTAAACCACATATATGATTGGTCCAAGACCAAAGGCTATACATTTAACACGGAGAAGATCTCGTGCATTTACTTTTGTCGAAGGTGTGGTTTGCACTTGGATTTGGAAATTTATCTAAATGGGGATAAAATTCCAATGGTGAATGAAGCTAAGTTTTTGGGTGTCTGTTTTGACTAAAAACTGACATTTTTGCCACACTTGCGCAACCTGAAGAGTATATGTTTTAAATCTTTAAACCTTTTAAAGGTACTATGCTGCTCATCCTGGGGAGCAGACAAAGTTTCGATGCTCAGGATTTATAGGGCCCTTGTTTGCTCTAAGCTGGACTACGGTTGCATTGTTTACGGCTCTGCGCGAGAATCTACTCTTCGGATGCTGGATCCAATCCACTATCAAGCTTTGCGTTTGTGCAGTGGTGCATTTCGAACTTCCCCTGTTCAAAGTTTGTATGTGGATGCTTATCAGCTTTCATTATCTCTCAGGAGAGAAAAGTTGTTTTTTTTTATATTACATTCAACAAAAATCTCAAAAAAAACTTACAGCTGATTGTCCAGATACTCAGCTGAAAAGATTATTTGCCGCTTGGACGAGTTGTGTTTCCACATTCAACATTAGAATGGAGAATGTAAGCAGCACGATTGACCTAGACACAAGCAACATCTCACATGTTGAGGTTAATAGTATTTCACCATGGTCAACTTCACCGATTGATGTTGATTTAAGCTTAAAGCAGTTTCCTAAAGAAACCACGCCAGACTACGTTTATAGACAGCACTTTGCAGAAATTCAGCATTGTAACAGGAATTTAATTCCTATATACACCGATGGATCTAAATTGGATAACTATGTTGGCTTAGTTTTTGTTTGCCAGGATAAAATTGTGGCAGAACAAATAGCACTGAATTCTTCCATCTTGTCTGCGGAGTTGCAGGCTATTTATTTAGCCTTAAAGTATATAAATCGGAAAGTCATCGTCGCTGCGTGATTTACACTGACTCAGTTAGTGCACTTTATTCTCTGACTTCGTATGAACCTAGTTCTCACTCCATAGTTACTAAAATTCGAAAACTAATTTGTCATCTCACTACGAGAAATTTTTTTGTGAAGTTCTGTTGGGTCCCAGGCCACGTGGGTATAAGAGGTAATGAAGAAGCTGATACAGCCGCTAAGTCAGCAAGCTCTTCACAGCATACAATGCATATTGAAGGAGTTGATTTGAAACTAGTCGTTAAAAAACGACTTGCAGGGAGATGGCAAATTATGTGGAATGCACAAATCCACAATGAACTACACGAGATCAAACCTTTGATAGAGAATTGGACACATAATAGGCAGTATGATAGGAGATCTGAGGTTGTGTTTACTCGTTTGAGAATTGGACACACTCGACTGACTCATCAATATCTTTTGAAGGGAGATGACGAACCAGTATGTCAGCACTGCAACTGTACTGTAAGTGTTAAACACATGTTTTGCAACTGTGTTGCTTTTGATCAAAGTCGTAGACAGCATTTTGGAAATGCAAGCTTTAGAGAGATTTTGGGTCAGAGGCCAAATCTGCACAATATAGTGGACTTTCTGAAAGCCAATAATATGTATATAGAGATTTGATCACTTATTTATTTATTTTACAATTGTATTTACCTTGTTTGGTTTATTTATTTTGTATATATTTTTTGTTGTTGTTTACATTTATTTAATTTTGTTATATATTTTTTATGTTATTAATTAATAGGTATAGAGAGATTTGTATGTATTTATTATACAGTGTTATTTAAATTATTGTATATAATTTTTGTTGTATGTTTATTTATTTATTTACTTGTTTATTTAATTTTGTAATATGAAAATTTTTTACCTTTTGCTTTGGCGCAGCTTAGCCTATATGGCTCTTGTGCCAAAANCTAAGCTGGACTACGGTTGCATTGTTTACGGCTCTGCGCGAGAATCTACTCTTCGGATGCTGGATCCAATCCACTATCAAGCTTTGCGTTTGTGCAGTGGTGCATTTCGAACTTCCCCTGTTCAAAGTTTGTATGTGGATGCTTATCAGCTTTCATTATCTCTCAGGAGAGAAAAGTTGTTTTTTTTTATATTACATTCAACAAAAATCTCAAAAAAAACTTACAGCTGATTGTCCAGATACTCAGCTGAAAAGATTATTTGCCGCTTGGACGAGTTGTGTCCTTACATTCAACATTAGAATGGAGAATGTAAGCAGCACGATTGACCTAGACACAAGCAACATTTCACATGTTGAGGTTAATAGTATTTCACCATGGTCAACTTCACCGATTGATGTTGATTTAAGCTTAAAGCAGTTTCCTAAAGAAACCACGCCAGACTACGTTTATAGACAGCACTTTGCAGAAATTCAGCATTGTAACAGGAATTTAATTCCTATATACACCGATGGATCTAAATTGGATAACTATGTTGGCTTAGTTTTTGTTTGCCAGGATAAAATTGTGGCAGAACAAATAGCACTGAATTCTTCCA